TCTGCTAGGATTAACAACAATTTATCCTGTAGGTAATTAAAATATCTATAAGTTTGCTATAGAGACCACAAAATTTATGTGAAAAAATTCAAATAGCTAATTTCTTTTATTTTTATCTTGTTAAAAAAATGATTCAAGGAAATTTGGTGTAAATTTACCTTGTTATGTCCCAAATACACTGTATTTTCTTTTATTTAAAATATTTAGGAAGAAACCATATTTTGACTTATGTGTGCCCCAACTAGTTTGACAACGAAAATTTTGGTGAATTAAAAAAACGACTATATTGATTATTTTGAAAATTTCAGAGTATATTTATACATTTTTCAAGAATACACAGTGAAAAACAATATTTTATATATATTAATTATATAAAATAAAGTCCTCCACTGTTGCAGTGATTTCGGCCTTCCTCGTGGATGACACTTGGAAATAAAAATAAATTGATATGCAATATGTTGTAGGAAATCTAAGCAAAATTGGATATACTTTGCCGATATTGAAATTATACATATTACACATAATAATTTCTGTTATACTAATAAATCTTATTATATTAATGGTATAGCGCTGAACATGAATCTAGTTGGTCTAGAGTCTAGACCAAAAATTAAGGGTAAACACTTTAATTCGTGAAATCAGTTTAATTTATTAGTTTTTGTTGATAACATTTTAAAATAAATAGAATAATCTTGCGTGAAAATATTTGGGTGGTTTTTCAAATAAATGCATTCATCTATTGATAATATGATAAATTAAGGGTATGGTTAAAAAATTGTGATTGCGAAAGTTGTATTTATTTAAATATACAAGTATAAAAATATACTGATTTTCAAAAATTAAATGTGGAGTGAGTTGCAATAACTTTTGTACAAATAAACAATTAAAAAAAAGTTGTTTCACTTTGAAAATGTGATACATATGAAAAAAATATGTAGGCGAAATAAATTTAGTAATCATTTTTTATTTATTATATTTTTTTACTTGATACTTCATCCAGACAACGTAAAGTATAGAGAAGTTCCGAGCTGTGCCGAAAGAAACTAACAAACGATCGCCGACTGTTATCGCTTCCCTTGCCGCAGTAACAGCTTCGCCCACAAACTAGCGTAACTATGTATACATATGTATTAGCTTGCATACATATCCACTCAGATTTTTGCGAGCCACGTAAAAATATTTTAGAATTGACAAATATTGTAAATCGACAACAACTATGTTGCCACTTTTCTCACTTAGAACAAACACCAGAAAGATGTTCAATTTATGATTTTTAGCTTTTGCCATCGTCGCGAAAAGACGCTTGTTGGCAAAGGGGGAGATGTTACGGCGTCTGTTTTTATGAATGAAGCGAGGTCGCTTGTGGAATATGCGCCCGCGTTTATGAATGAAATCGTTTTTGTTGTTTTTTGTAGAACAACGCTTAAATTTTTTGTTGGTGACATATTCACATGTGTACGCATATGTATGTTTGTATGCTTGTGCATTATTTGTTCGGCAATATATACAAATATATGTACATATAAGTATAAATGAATGTATGTATATGAACATGTAGATCAATACGCGCACATGTAATACATTGATAAGTGATAAAAATCATTATTACAATTTCTGAATGCGCACATGCGTATACATAGTAGTATAGTATATTATGTAAAAATCAAATAAAATTATTAAATATGCAAGTCCAAATTGACTATAAATATTACTACGCTATCACAATTGTTGGGAGTATCATAAGGAGCATGCATACATATATTTATGTCTCTTCATATTCTTGCGTATGTGAGACAAAGAACATAATGTGTTTTGTACACATTTTTCGCTGTCAAAAATGAAACAAAATATAAACAAGCAAAACGAAATTCTTCATTGGGAGTTTCTTCATATTCTCTGCTTGGGCATATGTGCCATGCCGTAAATACATATATTTATTTCTCTTCATATTCTCTGTTATAATATGTGAGAGAATTGTAAAAAATGTTAAAGTTGTGAGGCGAATTTCGACATACAATGTTAACAAATGCGGCGAATTCCTTACCCAAAATCTAACAAATGTTCGCAGTCGAACCTGCACCTTCTCTATACTTCATGTGTTGAATACAATGCTCGCGACAGACTGCAAACGACATCTGTCAAATATTAAAATACACACGTTCTTATGGACAGACCTATTTTGACGACTACACGACGACAGGCCAACAGTTGTCGCTCTCGCTAACTTCAATTTTATCCAATACTTGCCAACCACAGTAGCACGACAGTAGAGTTGACAGTAGAATGGAAGACAGAGAGATGAGGTAGAGTGGTGATGCCACTAATATGTAAAATGTAAAATTACTCAAAGCTCTAACAACAATTTACAAATAAAAGCATAAAATAGCTCTGTTACATCATTTATAATAACAATTGATAATTTAAAACAAACAAATTTACCTATCTACTTAGTTTTTGCTTAAAAATTTCACTTTGAACAAAATATTAAAATTTCATTGAAGTGCAAGGTATTAGTATGGCCACAACGGAATTTTGTACATGCAAAATGAACAACTGAGTTGTTTTGTGTACATGCCGGCCATTCTTATGTTGCTGCCCTCTCACAAACGTTCTTGTAGTAGGATTCACAACGCCATTTTCAGTTCACTGTCGTGCTGCTGCAGTCTGTCGCTAGCATTGTGTTCCACACATTACGTTCTCTGGTTCAATATATGCTTTTATGTGAGTTTGTTCACATAAAAAGTCTTCGAAGCAAAGCCTAGTATGACGCGTAGTATGTTTACTTCGCTTCAACGTTAAAGTATGAACTGTCAAATAAAGCAGGGAAAGTTGTTTATAAATCAGCCATTAAAATATTTCTAAAGGATTAAATACTCAAAGATCCGTTGCTTAAAATTTTACTTTATTCTTGCTGGAAAAGATTTCTTTAATACATAATAATATGTCCCATGCAACCCTGTGTTATTTTCAAAAGAAAATGTCCAATTACGCAAAGATCGCGAAAATTTGGAGTAGGAAAAATAAAATTATCCAAATCACATTGGCAGATTTTTGTGTTGTCTAATTTTATCAATTTTGATTATTTTTGTTTTTTTACCAGCAACTAAATTTTGTATTTCAAACAAATTATGGAATTTTGTAAAAAAAAACATGAAGTAGAATGGAGTACTATTCAATAATGGTGAGCGTACAAAGGGGAAGCATGGTATTTTAGGTCAGGGCGTATGCCGGGCGTAACATAACATTTTATCGAATTTTATCTACATTTATCATTTTCTAGGTCTATGTATAATTAGGATATATGTACATATTTTTCACACCTTTGTCAATTTAACGTACGGATAATCCATTGATTTGCAAAATGCTACCAGCAACAATATTCCGACAGGTGCAATGCACCCGCAATGGCCTAAGTAAAAACCTTACGGATTTAGTAATAGGTTTAAGTACAGCTGGGCCGCCCGCAAATGGTGTTAACTGTTTAAATCGATACGCCGCAGCGACAGGATTCATACGCATCTCCTTTCTTGACTTCAACCAACATCGGAACTGGGATATAGCGAGACTTCGTCAGTATGCCGATTCAAAAAAAAAGTCTTTGCATTTGCGAACGTTACAAGGCCGTCATCTGCTTCAAGATGTAATAGAAAAAAAACGAGAAATTTTTATAGAACGTAAAAATGTGTTCGTGGAAGATATTCACAAAGTACAGGAGCGAGTACGGGAAAGAATGGAGGAGGCTATTGAACGTGAAAATGTGCTAACCATACCAAATATGTTAACAGTGGGGAGAGCGTTTTTGTCACCTTACATTGGATACGTTATAGTGCAACAGGATTATAGACTAGCAATGGGCTTACTTTTAGTAGCGGGGATAACAGATTTAGTAAGTGTGTATAATGAAATTTAAAAGAAATTAGTAATATATTAAATTTGTAATGAATTTCAATTTTGAAGTTAGATGGTCAAATAGCGAGAAGGTGGCCCAATCAAGCAAGTAAAGCAGGTTCGTTCCTAGATCCAATGGCAGATAAACTACTTATTGGATCGTTAGTTATTTCAATGGGACTTGGAAAGTTATTACCTTGGTGGTTAGCAGGCACTGTTCTATTTCGAGATGTCTTCTTACTTGCAGCTGGTTTTGTCATACGCTACATTAGCTTACCACCACCGGTTAGTTTAGTACATTGAATAAAAATATGTACGCACATGTATCCATAGTATTTACTTAAAAGCTATTTTATCATATAGAAAACATTTACTCGTTATTTCGATGCGACATATGTGACAGCGCAATTAGAGCCTACACTTATTAGCAAAATCAATACTGGTGTACAATTAGCGACAATTGGTATAAGTTTGGGAGCTCCTATATGGAACTACATCGGTAAGATTTGTATGCTCATACATGTTTTAATTTAAATTTAATAAAATTAAACTTTATTACAGACCACCCCGCGTTGCTTGGACTATGGTATTTAACAGGAGCTACTACTGTAGCAGCAGCTTTGAGTTACATTTTAAACAAAAATACGTTTAAAATACTTAGAAAAGAAACAAAGAACACATAGTACGTCATAAGCCATAAGTGGAAATTATTATGGTCAACTCAAAACTTTAATATAAACCTTTGTTAGGTGCCTAGGCCACAAGGCCTTATAAATTGAAAATAATAAGGGTTTGAAATTTACTACAAGCGATTCGAGCTAGAGTACGGTAAATTGGTAAGCTTTCACTTCCATAAGAAAAATATTTTATATTGTTTAAATTCTATATTATTCAATTCAAGGACTTGAATATCAATTTTATGTGGTAATTATTTTATAGTTATTTAAGAAAAATTGAGCTTTTCAAATTGTAAACTGATTCATGTATATATGTATATATGTACATATAAACCTATAATTAAAATGTTTAATTTAAAAACTGTTGAATTGTGTTTAGTAAAGATGTTGTATTTTATATTGTAAAATGTATTTTACACATAAACATAAATTACTCTTATTTATACTTTTGTCATATATGTATGTAGTTTGCCCCTCTTTTGCGTAGTGTAATTTTACCTGACAAATAGTTTTAGAATATGCTGCTCATTTTATTTTCTTTTGCTCAGCAGCTTCCTCCTTTTCCAGTCTCCTTGCCCGTTTTTCAATTATCCAGAAGTAAAACGATGGCCATATGTATCGAACGTAATATGCGAATTTCGCTTGTAAAGCGGAGATCATTACATCTTTTTCTTTGCATACAATTGCATTTAAAATACGATTAGCTACTTTTTCTGGTCGCATTCCTAAATTCGTTGTTTTATCCATTTCTACCAAAAAATTTAATTAACACTTTATATTAATAATAATTTATTTGGTTTACTCACTTCCATAAGTTTCTCCACTACTTGTAAGTGCATTCATTGACAGCTGTGTGCGTATATACCCTGGGCTTATACATGCCACATGTACTCCCTTGTTAGCTATTTCTGAACGTAACGAGTCCGAAAAAGCTTGCAAGGCATGTTTGGAAGCAGAGTACGCCGAGCGATAAGGTAGGGCAAATTTACCTTGTACTGAACTTATGAAACAAATATGCCCACTTTTCCGCTTTAACATCGATGGTAATAAAGCTGTTTTTTAATTAAAAATATCCTACAAATCAAAATATTTAACTGATGATTGAGTTACCTTTAGTCAAAGCCACTGAGCCGAAATAATTGACGACCATCAATTTCAAATCAATATCCACAGCAGAAGAAATAGCTGTTGCTCGAACGCTTATACCACCATTATTAACTAGTATATCAATTTGGTTATGAATTTCTAGTGCTTTTAGTGCAAATGTGGGAATATCATTTAATTCTGCCAAATCTAAAGGCAGGATAACCGGTGGAAATGTAACGGTGCCCTGTTATTATAGATTACAGTAAATTAAAAGTTTACACTTAAATCCTATAATAAAGGAAATCATTTACCACATCTAAGCCCAATAAGTCCTTTTTAACCCGTTCTAGTTCTTCAATTCGCCTAGCTGCCAAAATTAATTTACAGCCGGATTTGTAAAATGCATGTGCCAAAGATTCTCCCAAACCAGAGCTGGCACCAGTTATCAACACAACCTACAAGGATTATATATATGTATAAGATTTTATTTATTTATATATATATAAGATTATATATATTTATAAGTATACATACTTGCAATAATACGTAACTGGTTTTAAAAACATACATACCTTTTCAGCTAATTCATTGCGATACCTTTTAACTCGGAGTCGATAAAAACATTCCATAAGTACAAAGGGCAAAGCAACTGGTATTAAAATTACGCCTAAAAGTACATACAGTGAGTTCCATTGACCACTTTGTCCTGGTGCAACACACTTTTCTACATCGTCTAAAGACATTTTTTTATATTTTTCGGCTACTTAGGTTTATATTTTCTCTAATGCACTTTGATAATCCGATACCAAATCTTTTCCTTGCTTTGTTTTGATTTTATTTCGAATACAATGAAATGTCAATGCTTATTACTAGGTAACAGCTGATTTTGACGTGAAAAAATTGATCATAATCTGATTTGAGAAGTTAAGTTTTATTAGAAATTGCCAAACTAGGGGTAAAAATGAATGTCCTTAGATCGTATATAATTCGAGGTACCAGTGGTGTACTTCAAATTCCCGAAATTATTGTTCCAAGTTTCATACACACTAGCGCTATCCGTAAAACGTTTTGGGAAAAAGAGAAGAAATCGGGTTATACAAGTAATGTAACACTGCCTTCCAGAAAGGATCTAATTGTGGAAGGTTTTCGCGAACTAAAAAAAGAGATACAACTATGGAAAGATGAAATGAAAGAAAAAATAGATTCCGACCCAATACTTGTTTACCGTCCTGGTGAAACGGATGTGGTTTTCAATTTTAAGAATGAAAGTGCTTTCGATACTTGGATCGTGACAACGGATGCTGACCACCGGGAAGGCAAAAGTACAGCAAAGCTGGAAATGAGCTCGGGAGGAGCTGGGTTGTTTCATGGTAATGTAAATTCTGAACATGTAAAAGATGGTATTGTAAAGCGAACCGGCTATGCTAATATCCGAACAAAACGAGTGCGGGTAAGAAAAAATAAACAAATACATACCAATTATATTATTTATATTAAATATATACTTTGTATGTTTTAAAAAATGTATATAATTCTAGGATTTTAACTTAATATACAAATTTGTTATACTAATTGTTTGATATTTCAGTAACAGTTGTCATATAATCAACTTATATTATTAATCCATATACATATATAATTTCCTGCAGCGGTCTTTCAAACGTGAGTCAACATATGACTGGACTCAATATAATACTCTCGTAATGAAAATACGTGGAGATGGACGTAGCTATCTTATTAATCTTCACACGGAAGGCTATTTTGATATACAATGGAACGACGTATATCATTATGTGCTTTTTACTCGAGGTGGTCCTCATTGGCAATTAGTTAAGGTAATATGATAATATGTATAAGAAGTATGTTCGCAGATAAATTAAATTCTATGCAGATCCCATTTTCAAAATTCTTCCTCTCATCGAAAGGCCGCATACAAGACAGGCAAGGACCAATTCGTTTAGATCGTGTAACTCATTTTGGATTCTCAGTAGGGGCAAAAAATAATATGGATGGTCCCTTTCAATTGGAAATTGAGTATGTAGGTTTGGAATTCGATCCTAATCACCGCGAGGAATTTGCTTATGAAATGTACAAAACTGATAAGTATATAGTTGCGACTTAAACACATTTGGAATCTATAACAAATTGTGTTTAAGGCACAACAAATATTGGTTGTTATGTAATTTGCTAAGAAAATAATTAATATTAAATTTGTTGTCCAAATAAATAAGTTATAAAAATGATTTATTTTATTTTAGAAATTGTTAGTATAAAATTGGAGTAAAATTTACTCACGCTAAAATCAACCCTGAGTGATTGTTTATATTTTCAGTTTTGCATTACATAAAAATTCTTATTGGTCACAATTTTTTCCAATAACTGCTTTACTGCGATAAACATTTGCGAAACAGAACAAACATAAACCTTTTAGTTGCTTTGCGACAAGTGGATGTTTAAGTAGATGTTTTTATCTTGTTAAGCTGAAGGCTACGTGGAAATATAGGCGTGCTGTGCTCTACATTCGGATAAAAGCAGCAACATGGTAACTATTTCATATATGAATTTATAATACGCACATATGTACATTTCAAGTTGACAACCGCTCGGATGCCTCTTTTAACAAAAGTTTTAATTCAACACTATGACCAATATAAACCGAACAACTGACATGGTATTTTGAAAAAATTTCGTTCCTAGGAAAACAACCAACCAACGTTGTTAAGTTAGTTAGCCAACAGGTTCCATAACGTACAATATGAAAAAATATTACAGAGGGTGGGAAACATTAAGCGCAGACTTGAAAATTGTTTTGAATATTCCGCTGTTTGAAGTAGAGGTATTTTTAAAACCTATGATAACTATATTTCTACTAATTTGCACAATAACTTAGAAAATATGAGATTAAAAATCTCCTAAATTGCGCTTACACATATACTTAAATTATTAACAGTTCGGTGTTTCTTATTATATTAGTTTTCCGTCTATAACGAGTATGTACGTTCGTTCATATTTATTTCATCATAAAAATCGACTGCCTATCTACATATTAAAAATTAGCTTTTTGGTGAGAAAACCGGTTGAATTACTATAATCAATTTATACTTGCACAGCATATTGGAATACTTGCATTCAACTAGTGATACTAAAGCAATTTGTTTTTGCCGCAATACTGGGAAGAAATAATGTTGACGTAGTTTGCTTAATCTAAAAAAGAAACAAAACCTGATTTGAGTGTACCAAACTCCACGCAGATTAATTTTAAAAGCTTGTGACACCTTCAGATTCTTTACAAACTTCACTTACCTTACACCTTTCTGCTGTGTTGGCAGCTTGGAAAACTAACAAGAGAAGACATCAAATTTGTGTTGTTTACGAAGCTGTCTCAATTGGGTACGAGATAAGATGGTTCGCTGCAGTGAGGTACGAGTAAATATCAAGGGAATGCTTAAAGTAAAAGTAAATTTAAAGCATAATAAAAAGTATAAAAAACAGGTACTCTTGCCAAAGTTTATAATTTCAGAAAGATGATAGGAAAACAGTACATATACATACTTATAATACCTTATATATATATATAATATTATTGCGTGGCATTTCATAGGGATTTGTAAGATTAGACATTTAAAGAGATTAATAATTTAAATATAAAATAAGCAAGAATTGTTAGTCGTTATAATAATTTAAACACAAGCATCAATATCGCAACGTATTCATTATAGCAAGAAACTTACCTTTATGATCCAAACATTTTGCTGAAACTAAACTTCCATCAAAGTCCGGCCAAATTCGAACCATTCATATCAGCAGCATATCCAGGTGAAAATTGGCTTAAGGTACGACCACTTAAAGATGGTGACTACGACCGGGGATTTCTGCAACTGCTTTCACAACTGACCGAAGTGGGTCATGTTACGCGGACACAATTTTTAAGTATGCATTATTAAAGAAACTGTGTAATTAAGATGTTAATAAGTTGAATCTTAACTGATGAAATTGATTAAATGTGTCTATTCAATAGCAAGATTCTCTCAGATGAAAGCCAGTGGCGATTACTATGTCACAGTAATCGAGGATACTAGAAAAAATGAAATAATCGGGGCTGCTTCCTTAATTGTCGAACGAAAATTCATACACAATTGCGCAATTGTAAGATGAAATCTGAAATTTTATATATGCATTTGTGATGTGACCATGTTATTTTATTGTTATTTACAGCGTGGACGTTTGGAGGACGTTGTTGTAAATGACAATTACCGCGGCAAGCAATTGGGTAAACTGTGAGCATCTTTGTAGCATAAATATTTTAAGTGAACATAATACTATTCAAAAATTTCTTTTTAACAATTCGCTGGATAGTATTGTGGTAACTGTCAGTCTATTGGCTCAACACATCGGCTGTTATAAAATGTCGCTAGATTGCAAGGATAAGCTAATTAAATTCTACGAGTCTCTTGGCTATGCTCTTATTCCCGGCAATGCTAATTCCATGACAATACGATACGATGAGGAACCGTTTACAGTGCGATATAACAACACTATGCTAGATGTTAGCGATGCTAACACCGTCAGCCAAACTGTGAGCCTCGATTTTTCTTCTTGACAATTAGCCGCCAGTACCGCTCTTAAATCGAAATTGTAATTTCTTACAACATTTAGCATAAAAGAAAAATAATAAACTGTTGTAACATCATTAGACGTAGTGATTCCTAATAATAGCCGAAAACAATAATTTGAAGATAGAAAACAGCTATAGCAAATTGATAGGCATCAAATTGTAAGGATTTCAAATACTGATTGTTTTCGGCTAACCATTAATATGGATATATATGTTTCACAGTTTTTATTTTCTTTTTTGTTGTGAGCATTAAAAATTTCTGATTTATTGCAAAGCGCTCCGCAAATGAAGGAAATATTGTAAGCATTTTTGAAGCGCTTTGACAGCGGTGCTGGTAGACGGTGGTGCCTTGCAACTGATGTTTTATACATACTTATATAAATAAAAGCATCAGAAAAGGCATACATTAGAAAAGTAAACTTTTTATTATTTTTTTTAATTTACGTTATTGTGTACATTGTTGTATATTTAGTTTAACCATATGATTTGATTTTGATTTTTTACTTGCAAACATGGCTCAAATTGAAAGGTAGTGGTTATATTACCATTTAAAAGTACATTTATAAAATAGGTAGTGTACCCGTGGATGGGCAGGCAAGGAGCTTCACTTAGTGATTTTTCAAATATTCGCATATACATATGTATATATATGTACATTTACGAGTACGAAAATATAATTTAAAATTCGGTATTTGTCGGTGTCTTTTTATTTTTACGGTATTGTAAGTAAAACAGTTATTCTGAATCGAAATCACTAATTGTATTCACATAAGTGACCACATTTCGGACATTTAAAGTGATTGCCAAAATAATCCATAATGTGTTCTAAATGACCACCATGTGAGCATCCTTGGCACCACGCGTAAAGACCCCGCACGATGAGACCACAAACAGAGCACTTTGATGACTGCATTGATTTGCATTTCTGACAATACCATCCCACACTGCTTCCCAAAGGTCGTCCACATTCACCACAATTTGTGTGAACTGAGGTGGATTGTTGATTCAGTTCGCGAACTGAACGAAGCCATGAAAGATTCATTACTTTACATGCTTCGTTCCAGAGTTGATAGCGATGAAGTTGATCGATATATGTTTGAAACCATGTTTCCTATAGGTGTATGAATTCTTACTTGTCATGTAACTCCTTAGAACTTGATAAGGGATACTTACAACGAGAGCATCATCGATTTGGAGAAGTTTTCGTGCCTCTCCCATAGCGATCAGTATTGAAATACTGGTTTGCACATCGCCAACATCTCCTTGCAACATTATCGATTCCGCAACAAATTGATGCGGCTCCCAAATAGGTATGGCGGGCGTTGTATTTACTTTGAGAAGGCTTGGCATATTGGATGACTATGTGTGAATATGTACAAACAACATGTACACATGCAAATATGTTTAAATATGACACAAATATTTGTACATATAATAGTAATTTACCGGTGGGATATCCTTAGATTCGGGTTTTAAATCTAATTGTGGGCGTGCCGCTTGTACGTCATGGTGCAATGCGGTTTCTTGGTGAGAATGCATTTTTGAGAAATCTGGCGGTCCGACGTATATGAAGCCTTCACGTAGTAGATCAAAATTGTCAAATGTTATTTCATTAAGTATTTGTGTTTCGGAGAGAATTACAGAACCGAATGGGGGATAATTTTGTTTAATGCTCCCCAAACCTACGCCCACTATACCGTTAGATGAATCGATATCCAGATGCATAACATTATCTACACTGTCGTCAATACTGGCAGCGTCATTATTTTTGTTACTATCCCACTGAAGCACTTCGTGAACGTTTGCTATTTGTGCGGGGCGACGTAACGATTGCACACTTTTTTGATTAGAAAAAGAGTTGCGATGTATATCGTATTTCTGTTTACTAAATTCAGTGGAACCATATAAAACCTTAATAAAGGTCCACAATGTGGTTGCCTATATGTTGTGTAAGATGAAATTAAATTAAAAATTGCAAGCGAGTAAAATTTTTGGAAAAACTTACATTATGCTTTCCGTATTTTTTTGTAACAATTGCATTTTGTTCACACATATCTGTCAATTTTTTACCGTACAAAATGAGCTCTTTAGCACAGCCTATGAAGCATTCATGTTCCTTTAAATGTGTAGTTTCCTCCTCAACTGAATATCCAGTGTACTGAAGAAAAAATTACAAAAGTTGATTCTTGTTTTTGGTCTTGTTGGTTTTTCTTTTACCGATGGCTTAAGAATAAACTGGCAAACATCTGATTGAGCTAAATGGAATTGCTCATCAGTATTTGTGGGCCGTCGCCGATTGCTACAAATATAAACAAAAAAATTAAACTCAATAGAGAATTTATTTTTTCCCCGTCTTCCTTACACAAATGAATTAATTTTAGACCCATGTGTAATAGTCTCAGTAGGGATTAACTTAATTTTTCGGGCGAAAGAAATATCTCCACGATGGCCCAAACTAGCACCTTGTGCATTTGCTTTCAAAGCCGGACGGGTGGCGTCTTTAAATGCATGTCTGTAAATAGTAGAGTCTTTGCTGGTCGAAAGTAAGAGCTGAGAATTATCTCCCTTCCAAGCGATGCCTGTAGTAACATTGGTATGATCATTGAAGGAAGCAAAAGGTATGTATGGCCGTCGAATATCCCAAACATGAATGCTATAATCGACTACTAATGCACAACTTGCTATGTGATAACTGAATTTAAACAAAAGAATAATATACAGCAAGGCATTAAAAAAAAAAAAAAATTATATAGTTTTCTTTACGTTCGATCAGGGCGCCACTTTACCCTGCCCACGACTGCAATGGTATGAATTGTATGCTCCAACGATGCTTTCCCATCCATATTCCAAATCTTAACAGAAAGAGATTGAAAAAAATTATAATAAAATTAAAATAATACTTCATACCTACTTTTATTTGTTTATCACGGCTGCCGGTGGCCAGCCAATTTTTAGTAGGATGCCAATCACAAGTATAAACAGGTCCACTATGGGCTGTGAATTGTAGAATACTTTTGTCGCCTCTAAAAGGTATTTACATTATATATTAATGATCAAAATAAAGTTGTTCTTACTTTCGCAGGTCCCACAATTGAACGGTGCCATTTTCTGATACTGCTGATATCACATATTGCATATGTGGACTAAATTTTACATCACGGACAGATTCTGAATTACTATAATAAGTATATGACGACTTTTCATTGCGTATGTCGAATTGCTTAATAGTACCGTCTTGTGAACCAGATACAAGTATGTGCGGATCGTGAATGTCAAAGCCAACTGTATGTGCAGTACGTTCATGCTCATTATAAACATGTAATTGTTTCTTTTGCCCGAAGCGGCTTAGATCCCATACCGATACTACACCATTTGTGGCAGCTGTAGCCAATATATTACTATCCAAAGAGCTCCAAGCTACATCGTTAGATGAGTAACTAAGATTTTGATTTTTACCACCGCGCATATTGCAGACTTCTGTAAACCCATCACTATAAATCGCATACACCTTTAAAACTGAAATAAAACTAGATTTTAACTCTGCTATTTTCATCAGATCTTCATTTATTTTCCTTACGACTTCGGCCAGCGACGGCTATTTGGTTACATTCTCTATTCAACGCCAATGCATTCGCATGCCCCTCCTGGCAAATTCGCATTGAAATGGTATTGGCATCCTCAGTGCCACGTTCGCGCCAGTCCTGAACGTTCTGCATTTTTACACAATTTCACCGTTTCATAGACAATTTCTTTAAATTGAAAATTAAGCTTTATCCGAATGAACCATTTAAGCCATTGGCTATTGCCTATATAATGAAAACGCATCACAACATATAATAATAAATGACAACTTTTGACGTTTCTTATCAGGAGACTCATTTTTATTGTATTTACATAGAATTAGGGAGATCTAAAAAGGTAAAATCACTTTTACCAAATATCTTTAAGGTTTGATAAGAATGTTAATATTTCATTAAGAAGTGTATATTTTATTGTAATTAAACAATTTATGAAGTTTTGAATATATTGCGCAATTTTTCATGATCTACGTATAAACACAACTCTGTGTGTAAATACAGGAAATGTCAACAGATAACATTCGCAGTAAAAAAGTAATCATACAGCTACGTCAGGAGAGAAGTTAAATTTTACCAATAAAGTGATATAAATATGCATTAAATTACCAAAAATTAGTTGAAGACTATAAAATATATATATATATATATAATATTAAAATAGAGTTACCTGTAATGGAAAATATGAGCGAGAACGTATAGTACTAATGTAAAAGTATGCAGGAAAATTGGTGATATTAAAGTTTCTATATTGGTGTGTGCAGAACTAAAACAAAGTATGAAGAAATAAAAAGTGAAAGTAAAAAGAATAAAAAAAATTTGATGGACAACGGAGTGAATTGGAAAAAACTAAGTTTTTTTTACTTATGGTTTGGAAGACAGAAGTGGTTGTGAAACAAATAATTAAAGCTTTACGTTGAGTACTGACAAACAGCTGGCACATTTTAATTGGCCAAATTCGTTATTAACTTGTTTAAAACATATTTACAGTTGCTGATAAATAGTTTTTTGAATATTGTACAGCACCTGTAAGCAGAATTCATATTTATTTGTTTTGCGTGACATACTGTCCCCGTCAACATCAACAAAATATTCAGCCGCCGATCAAAAATGTGGTCGTTCTTCTCGCGCGACTCGACGAAAGACTTTCCATATGATATCGGTGAACAAGTGCCCGGCTTAGAGTCACGCTCCATTTGGACATTGCACAAAGCAAAGCGTAAGGGCACACAAGAAGAAGTATCAGTATTTGTTTATGATATACGAAGTGGTTCAGATGCTAAATGTGAATTAGCAAAGGCTGCATTGAAACGGCTAAAGACTTTAAGACACCCGAGCATTCTACAGTACCTGGATTCATTTGAAACGGATAAAACACTTTATATTGCTACTGAAGCAGTTGAAGCTTTGGGTACTCACATTGAGAAGCTGGCCTCTCATGGTCCCCAAAAAGATTTGTATTTAGCATGGGGGGTGTTTCAAATCACAGTAAGCATTTATTTGACTTAAATTTTTACAACTTTAATTTAAAAAAATGTATTTAACCACCAAGCGCGCACTTTCATTCCTTAACAATGACGGTAACCTAAGGCATAACAATGTTTGCGTTTGGTCGGTATTTGTTAATTCGTCCGGTGAATGGAAACTTGGTAGTTTGGAGTATGTGTCGCCAGCGGACGGGAATCCTATGCCACCTATTAAAGTACCACCCGCTTTAGAGGTATATGATCCACCGGAAAAAAACGACCAGAGCAAATTAAAAGCAGCTACAAAATGGTATACAATTTAATAATAATGCTACACTTAAGGTGTTTTAAAGTATTATAATACCTAACTTTCAGCTCAGTTGATATGTGGGGATTGGGTTGTTTAGTTTGGGAGTCATTTAATGGACCTCTAAAAATGCGTTCAAACCTTAAAGACATAGATAATATTCCAAAGTCGTTGCAAACTCTTTATTGTGAATTGGTAGGCGCGTCACCTTCAAATAGACCCAACCCAGCTGATATTATAACGAGATGTCGCAAACCAGGTGGCTTCTTTAAGAACGATTTAGTTGATTCTCTACTTTTCCTTGAGGAGATACAAATCAAAGACAAGGCTGAGAAAAATCGTTTCTTTAGTGGTTTAACAATACATTTGGATAATTTTCCCGACAACGTTTGCAAGTAAATATGCGTATATGTTTTTTCACTCATTCAACTTATTCCAATAATCACACTTTACAGGCATAAAATACTTCCTCAGCTTATCACTGCATATGAATATGGTGATGCAGGATCAGCTGTGCTAGCACCCATGTTTAAACTCGGAAAATTACTTGATGAAATTGAGTATCAAAAACGCATAGTTCCCTGTGTAGTGAAACTTTTTGCTTCCACAGATCGTGTGACGCGGTCCCGATTATTACAACAATTAGAATTGTTTATAGCACATTTGCAACCCCAGGTAGTGAACGATCAGATTTTTCCCCAAGTCGCACATGGCTTCTTGGATACCAATGCTACCATAAGAGAGCAAACTGTAAAGGTAATACAACGATAATTATTTGTTTGGGTTAAATTTAATTTGAATTTAAATGTACTTAATCTATATATATTAGTCTATCATTCATCTGGCGCCTAAACTGAACTACAATAATTTGAATGTTGAGGTTCTACGACATTTTGCGCGCTTGCAAGCTCGTGATGATCAGGGTGGCATACGCACCAATACAACTGTATGTTTGGGAAAAATCGCCCCACACCTACATCCACAGGTGCGACAGCGCGTTTTGGTGTCTGCTTTTATAAGGGCTATGCGCGATCCTTTCCCACCAGCACGAGTAGCTGGTGTACTTGCTTTGGCTGCTACACAACAATACTTCCTGCTAAGGTATTGCCTACTTCAAACATGAACGTAATGGAAGCTAATAATTTGTTTTCTATTACAATTCAAACTGATTAGTGAAGTGGCAAACAGGGTCCTCCCGTCATTGTGTTCTCTTACCGTTGATCCAGAAAAGACTGTACGCGATCCAGCTTTCAAAACGATACGTGGCTTTTTGGGTAAATTGGAAAAAGTATCAGAGGATCCAAGTCTGCGTGAAACTATGGGTAAGTCAAAAGAAAGGTTTTAAGGTGTCAGTAATGAAATTATATTTGATAAATTAAATTTCAGAAGCTGATGTGCATACTGCTACGCCGTCGATCGGAAATGCAGCAGCTACATGGGCGGGTTGGGCTGTTACAGCAGTTACAGCTAAATTTTACCGGAGCCAAAGTGATTCATCACGTCCGCGACCGCCTTTAACTGGCCGAAATCTCTCTAAGCCTGCATCTTTAGGTATGGTGTTTACATTCTTTTAAATATTAAATGGATTTAGATCGTGAATTTTATAGAGCAACCTTCGAGTAGCAGCTTATCAACGACAACATCCAGCGTCACATCTATGACATCACTAGAACATGAAAGTAACGACACATCAGCGTCTGCTTCAGATTATGGCAACAATGACTGGGATAACGAAAATTGGGGCGAAATGGACGTAAGAAAATCCTATCGATAATATATTTGAATATTTATTCAATAAATACCATTATTTTTGGTTAGACATCACAGGACCCTAGTAGTCCAATGGCTGGTACTTCCAACAATGGTCAATTGAATGCATCGAATGCACTCAATGAAGTACGTGATGGTTGGGATAACGAGGAGTGGGGCAGTTTAGAAGAAGAGCCGGTGGGTTAAGAATGTCTACTTTGAAAGAATAAAATCAAAAGTTCTGAAAATATTACAGGGAGAAGAAGAGGAAGAACAAGAAGAACATTCGCAGCCTTTGCATTCGAGACAATCAGCTCCTTCTGTGGATGAGCAATTGTGCACGTCAACAGCACGCCCACATCAACAACAATTGCTGCAACATCAATTGAATGAACTTATCGAACCACTAGCTAAACTGAACACTCATACAGCGACATCGCCATCAAGGGGGCAAAATCAGCATGCACTTGATTTGCGATCCAAAGATATTTCAAATTTAGCTATTACACAAACGACAACAACAACGGTATTTTCAAATTGCAACAATATCAGTCCACCACACATAAATAACTCAGCGAATTCGATTGCAAATTGGAATAGCGATTCGTGGGCCGATGGTGAATTTGAACCTGTTGAAGATCAGCTGACGGGTATGGGAAAAAACATTGAAAATTTGTTTTAAAATTCATCAAAATTATTTATTTAATTATATGTTTAGGAAATACTAAGTTGGATGAGGCGCGTAGAAAACGCGAAGAGAAAAAGTTGCAGAGGCAACGTGAGTTGGAGGTGCGACGAGCGCAACGTACAAGTGGCCCGATGAAATTGGGTGCCAAAAAGCTTTAAGATGTGAATTTTTAGTCTTTAACTAAATGTTTATATAATATTTTAAATTTTCGAGTGTAATGTATTTAAGGTTCACATACAAATCGTATGCATTTTGGCATATACATTTCTTTACTAATTCATGACATGTCGATAAGAGACGATATAACTGTGTACGTTGTAGAATTTGCCCGAAACCAAACGTGCAGTTGTTGAAAAGCCAGAGAAAATTGTAATTTTATAGGTAATACGAGATATTGAAAGATTTTTTATATATTAAATATCAAAAGAAAAAATTTAACAAAATAGTATAAAATAGAAACGAAAATTTTCGTATATAAAATTTATGATTTAAAATCTCTAAAAACTGAAAATTTCATGTAGAAATAAAATATTTAGTCACGTTTGTTAAGGTGCATGCGTATCTTTGAAATGCTATTTGAAGTCTTATAAACAATTGTGCAGGAAAAAGCCGCACTTAGTTTAACTAAATAACGTTTGTGTATTCATAAAATATCACTATTGTTTAAATTTACGTGCACCGACATATATTGTGAGCTCATATTTTTACCTTTTGCAAATTAACCACAAAAAACAAATAAAACCAAAAGTAGCTAGATACGAATTTCAAATTTAAATACATTAGTACTTCTATCTCAGCAATAGATTTTATTGTACATAGTATACTCTAATGATTGAAATCATTGCTGTAGAAAAGTACTTCGTCTTCGTGCATTCTTATTAAATTTACTAACTGAATATAATAAGCGCCAATTAAATTAAATTCTTATGGTATAAATTAGTATGTATTTGCTTTTTATTTAATATCATTGCATTTTGGATTAATTTGTAAAATTCATAATGGTATTTTTGAATAATATTGATTATGATTTCCTTATTTAATTTCAAGTTAACTGTCTTTACATTACGGAATGAACAGTTATGCACTGCTGATAAAAAATCGTTTATATCGCATACATTTGTACATTTATACATCCATGTTTGTTAGGTCTTATATCGTACACTTATTACAAAAGAGTCATAACTCAAATATTTTTAAAATCAATTTTCTTCAGTATATCAATTCAGAACTTAAATACCTACCCAAGAATCTGCATTGGCTTAACTGGAAAATAATTGCGTCGTTTGTAGTTGTGTCGCTATATCTGAAAGCGAAAAAAGTGAGCTTAATCTGTATTATTTGAAATATGTCACTTTCGTTGAAATATGTGCGATTATAAAACTGTTATTGAATGTCTTAAAATTAATAAATTCAATTAAATTAAAATTCAAAATTGAGTAAGACGAGCAGGAACTGATTTTTCCTTGCCTGAACATTTGTCATTTACTGTATTGTGACACTTTTGAAGTTAGTGTACGAATTATTTGGATTTTTCAAATAATTAGGTACTAATACAGTGACTGCGTACAATTTTAGGAGCGATGGCCTTTACTACGCCTTTCAAGCCAGAAATATCTACTTTTTCGAATTACGTTAAAACCTTTTCCTTTGGCATTTTAAATAAACTATTAATACACTGGCAAATTAAGTAACAGTATTAAAATATTGGATATACAGCAACGCTCAAAGTTTATCCAATTTAACTTCACAAGCATAATCTGATCGGGACTTAGATCGAATTTTTCGAATTCTAATATTTCTAACATTACAAATTTAATAACAGAACAGTTTTATTTTTCGATTTCGAATATTTATTCATTTGTTTAAACCAGTTGTACGTTTATGTCTATCATAATTGATGTTATCGTATTATTATGTCGCTTTAGATGAGTAACTAATTATTATTTATATTTTAGAGGTGAAGGCAACACTATAACGTATGTTTTCATTTTTGTATATTAAGAAAATCGGCATGAATGAAAAGTGTTAGCCAAATTTTTTTGAAGCTGGAGATTTTGAAAATATTTTGTCAGAGATATCACTCTACTACTAGCTCGATACTGCATTCGATACAACTTGTTGTTAAATGCAAACATTTGAAACATGTGATACTCATTTTATACGTGTTTTGTATTTGGGTTTATCCTTTGCCTCAGTCCTTGTACTATTGTGTAATGATCACTGATTACGGCCGCTAAAGCGAAGCAACGATCGAGCTACAAAAAGCTGGTGTAGAGATATGAGTTGAGCCACTACCGTATTAAACATAAGTAATTTTTTGATGATCCAACATGATGCAAACGGCCAACTTGGTCCAAAGAAGATACTCAATTGCTGAAACTGCCGATATCGGGCGACCATATAGCTGCCATACAAACTGACCGATCAAAATCAAAATAAAAATCTCCATAAACTATCTCTATTTCTTTTCCTTTAAATAACCATAGCTTACAACGTGCAAATTGCACGGTAAAAGCGATAATATATTAAGAATTATAATATAAAGCTTTCAATTAGCGAACAACTTTATATTTCAGATATTTTCATTTTGAGTGGACAATTTTGCATTATTAATATACATACAATATATATTTAAAACCTTCTAACAACTTTGAAAAATAAAATATTAGAAATAATTGCTATCGATTTCGCCAAATCTGCATGTCCTTTTTTTTACTAACAAACATATTTAACATAGTACGATATAAGAAATTATCATTCTATAGTTAATTACAATTGTATAAAGGTTCTCATGTCCAACGTCTTAGTTAAGGCTATCATCAAGTTCATGATTGTGTGTATATAAAAGGTTTAAAAATAATTTATTTAGAGTCTAGGTATACCTAACACACACATACAAATGTATATAACGTATGTATATACCATACATACATATGAAAGCTTATGCAATGAAAGCTCTATATTTCCTTCAGGCAATATTTTATTTGGTGTTTTGTTTTTACCACGTTGGAGAAGTTCTCCATACATATTTGTGCATACAAAATCAAGTTTCTACTTGTGTGCGTTCATATCTACAAGTTTTTTTAAATGATGTACATATGTGTGCACTTATGTATATATAGCTGCTAGTTAAATCTAACAGTTTTCAACATGTTTATTTGTATTTTTATAAGCTTTCCATTGTCTCTGCCGAAAACTTCAAAAGAATAAACACAATTTTAATATACATGCTTATGTATAAAATAAAATTCAAGACTGCGAAGAATGAGAATTCATTGAAGTGAGTATATATAAGTACTAATCAAATAAAAAATAACTCAGTATAATTATACAGTATTTTATTAAATTTGAAAAGCTCGGTTATAAACATTTTCAGAATAACCTCATCCCAACGAAAGTTAGATAAGCCAAATCTCGGTTCCTGCTTGTGTGGTTAAAATTTGTAAAGTGGACTTGACGTCGTAATACGTGTAAAGCACATGCATACATACTCGTACATATGCATATCACAAACTACAACAGCTGAGTCAACTTAAAAACTCTTGTTTAAATTTAAGCTGAATACATCGATGAAATCAAACCGTAATAATGTAATCCGTTAATGTAATCTGGTTAATGTAGATATTCAAACATCTCAACATGCTGTCATGATTAACAACTGCATTCGGTACCAAATATTAATTACAAGTATATACATACATAGGTTCATGCCTTCCCACATAGTTATGTATATTTTATAACTTAAATATGGCATTCGATTTTTAGAAATGAAACTGAGATGATCACATGGTTCATGGTCGACGGGCATCCTGTAGAAATCGCTAATGCCTGGCCTTTTATGAAAATAAATATGGCACTGAATAAGACATGTAGTTGGTAGTAGTTATTGCTGATGTATATGGTGAGTAAATGAAAAAACCAATAAAATGGTATAAACTTAAAATACTGAAATTCAAAATGCCGACATATCAAACTACCGACAAAATTTAAATATGCAGCTAAATCAAAACACCGACAAATCATACAGACTGCATAAAAAATATTTGCAAAATCAAGTTCTACAGCCGAGGACTTGGAAGAAGTTATTTTTTTGAAACGCGGCCGAAGCCCTGGTGTTGATCCGAACAACGTGGCCGCCATGTTGTCAAAATTGCAAAGGCTTTTTTCAAAGGCATCCCGATAAAATTATTTTCAAACTTGGTAAAAAAATGTGAAATTTGCACTTCAAATTGCTTTCAAATATTTAAAGTAGGCTAGCATTTTGAATTGCAAAACTTTTGTATACATTTTATGTGCTGAATACATAGAGAGCGACATACTTCAAGCGACGTCTGTCAAATATTAAAATACACAAGTTCTTATGGACACAGTTATGTAGTCGTGCAGTTGTCTAAAAAACTGTGTCCTTAAACCGTGTGTATTTTAATATTTGATAGAGGTCGCTCGAAGTCTGTCACTTTCTATGTGTTCAGCACATGACTCATGAGCCGGCAAGTTTGCCTTTGTTACAATGGCCAATTTTTTTTAAATTTTAAAGTAAAGTAAGGAAAAAATAAAAGTTAAAATTTGATAATAATGTATATGTTAATGGGGTTATATTAGTAAACAGCAAAACGAAGCAAGCTTCCTTTTCTTCCATAGCACAGAGAGAGAATTCTATGGATTAACGGTTATGATCCTGAGCGTGTTGGTGACCGAACCTTTCATAAAATGGAGTTTTTTTAATTACGCAATTGAAATCCAAAATGCCCCTATCGATTAGTAATGTTTGTTCTTTGGGATCTAGGAACTTTATTAACCATTTATTTTGTAAATATCCCTCCTGCCCGTATTTCGAATTGTAGGCACTTTGATTTGTCGGTATTATGAGTTGTCGGTGTTTTGATTTGTTGGTATTTTGATTTTTCGGTGTTTTAATTTATAAATTTCGAGAATTTGATTGTCGGCATTACGTTACACAGCCCAATATAATATGTAATAGCAGCGCTAAGTAGAAGCCTAATTAAGTGTTAGCTGACAAATTAATTGCTATTTCCAATATTGTTTTATTAAATTAAACTCAATTTATTCCTTGTTGTTGATTCTAATAGGAAATCTTGCATATTTGCTCCAAAGCAAGAAGATGGTGCTGGCACGTATACTCTCAGTTGCTTTACTACAATTTTGTCTATCTTGGAACCATAATTAACATCAACGACAATGTCAGCCTCTAACGCAGAATAACGCTTGCTAACAGGTGCTTCTTCGGACTGTATAGGCGATTGAGAGGGGTGTATAATGAAATGCCGACAATCACAATCTCGAATTTTAGAATCCCGACAAATCAAAACACCGACAAATCAAAATACCGACAAATCTCGAAAAGGTGGCGCTGTTCCTTCGAGGCCCTGCGGTCTTCGGCGTTCGGCCTCCGGCCACGAACACGCTCAGGATCATAACCCTTAGTCAGCCGAATTCCCTTTCTGCTCTTCGATAGAAATAAGGGCAGACAAGATAAAATATTTTTCACATGTCGGCATTTTGGTTTGACGGTGATTTGATTTCTCGGTATTTTGATTTAGCTACATATTTAAATTTTGTCGGTATTTCGATGTGTCGGCATTTTGAACTTCGGTATTTTAGGTGTATCCCGATTGAGCAGTAAAGTCCCCTCTCGACGAACAAAGACCAAACTCTACAAGTCACTCATCCACGTCCTGTTATATGGTGCAGGGGCATGGACGATGACAACATCTGATGAGTCGGCGCTAAGGGTTTTCGAAAGAGTTCTTCGGGAGAATTGTGGTCCATTGCGGAGTGGCAATGGTGAAAACCGTAGTCGATGTAATGATGAGCTGTACGAGACTGTTTATGCCACTACATTGACATGACATAGTTCAACGAATTAAGAAACAGCGGCTACGCTGGCTAGGTCATGTCATCCAAATAGATGAAAACACTATAGCCCTGAAAGTATTCGACGCAGTAACCGCCGGGAAAGCAGGGAAAGAGGAAAGGCCAGGTGGAGAAGGACCTGGCTTCGCTTGGAATCTCGAAAAGAAGAAACGACTGGTGGGCTGTTCTTAAATCGTCTATAACTGCGTAAACGGCATTTTTTTAATTTTGAACACATCTTTCAAATACCATTACCTAGTAACTGAACAAAGGATTTTTATTACAAGAAATGTGTTTTGTGATATGATTGTGTATAATAAAATAGTAAAATTTTAAACCGCTGGGTAAGGGGGTAAGCCCACACCACATTTTACATATTTGATGATTGACATAAGGTTACAATACTTTTCTTTTTTAAAATTCCCAGCAAATTGGTGATTTGAAACTTTACGAACTCTCTATGATACTGACATACATATTGTCACCTGAAATGCAAAATAACGTAACAACATTTTCGGAAATTCACAGGGGAAAGAATGAAACACGTTATAAAATGGAAGGTGAGTGAATCAAACCTCAAATATTGGTTAAAACTGGGTTATATCTAATAGCAGAACCTTAAAATGTTGGGCATATGTACTTATATGTATGTAATTTGTAGTAGTGGATCATAATCAATGAAACACTCAATTTCGAATTTTTTGATCATACGTTATTTTGCATTTTAGATGACGATATATAGATGTAAGTATCTACATACAAGAGTAGTACCCATTAGTGAAATTAACTAGTCATAAAGCATTTTACAACTAGTATGCACTAAATGTTTAACTAGGCAGATGATTGCCTTTTTCCGTATAATACAAATATTTATCCGTTAAAAAAATCATTCGATAAATGGTTGAAATCTGACATGTAGTTATATTTTAGACAGGAACGGATATATTTATAAGCTGCAAAATTTCTGATTTAATGCATCGCTTACGAAAGTCGCATACATACTTAAAACAAGTACCTCACGATTTCTATAAATCCATGACATTGCCCAATTCAAAGTTACTTATTTTGTACTTGTAAAACACGCTTACAATATTTCACCTTTTTCATCATAAGCAAACTATTCATTGATTATTGTATAATATATCGTTATTTTTTTGAAAACAATAAAGCAGAGCACTATTTTCCGTTCTTCTTTGAATTAAAATTCTTTTGTGAATTAAACACTATTACGGTTTGCAACACCGCTCGGTAGAATTTAAGTAACTCAACTTCAAAGTACCACTAATTTTATCGAAGTTTCATTAATGTTGTCACCCTAAAATGTGAAGATTTGGTAGACACTTGGACAAATTTAAACTAAAAATTAAAAAATATTTGTTCCAGATTCATAAGTTGGTTTTATCTTTAGTACAAATATATTTCCAAAACCGTATGTGAGGGCATCGTGTATTAAGCGCTACTCTCCATTTTCTTGCTGATGTATATTTATCAAAAATGCAGTGGAAATGATTTCTTACGTTGGGCTGGCGCAACCTACTATTATTTGACAGACTGGTAAAGCTTTTCCAAAAAGCGAGTTCAGTTTGAGCTAAAATTTAAAGTGGAAAGTGCCATTTGGCTCTGTGAAAGAGGTWACGTTATCAAAACTTAACACACAAACATACGATTTACGA